TAATTTCACAATCAGTACGTTTCTAAGCTTAACTGCTTTTATAATACACGCTATAAATCACATCGATTCACATTCTCGAAAACACACACTAGCTCGAAACAGAATCGTAAATTGCTCGGAACTCTCTTCATTCATTCCCGCAGGCTTTTCTGCCAGGCTTATATACTAAAAAAAGAGGGCGTCCCGAACAAACTCGGTCTTTCTCAATAATTCATGATCATTCGAAAAATTCATCACGTGTTACCAGGGTCACGTGACTTCCGCTGTCGTAACACAGTTTTAACAATAAATGTTTTTGAAAGATACGTAAAAAGCGAAAAGCAGATTTGCTCAGTTCACTTATGTAGAATGGCTTGGCATGGCCTGTGTGTGTGTGGTATTGGGGGGGGGGAGTTATCTTTTTCGAGAAAAAGATGAACGTTTTATTTTGCACGATAAATTTAAATTATTTACAAGCCAAGTGTTCATGTTTTAAATGAGAAGATATTAGACCCTTTAGACTTTTTAGAATATTGATGTTGCTATTCGACCTCCCCTAAACCTCCCGTGGATAAGTCCCCGAGTATCATGCTATAATTATCAGAGAGTTGTGGTTCAAATTTTTACTTTAGGAAAACGCCATTCATCGTTGTTTCTTTACATTTTCGATGTTTTTTTACGGAACATGGATAGTAATATTTGGATTTCAGACAGAAAAAGATACTAAATAATGATAAAAATAATAATATCAGAAACCTATCTACTACAATTCAAGTAAAGTTTAATTATTGTTTTTATGCTAAGTTGTTTTGAAACATATGTGGGGATCAAATTTGCTTAAGTACGATATTGAGACGAAAGCGAACACTGAAGTTGTAAATACTGTTTTTATTAACATTTTTTCTCACCTGATAAAGGTGTGACGTTTATTTCACTATTTTGATAATTATAGAGGACGCTATCATACTTTAAATTCAGGTGAAAGGGTGCGACGAAATCAACAATAATTTAGTAGAGCTGAAAAGATGTTATTTCAATGTTATGCTTTTGTAAGTTGTATTTAAAATACTTTTAGTTAGACAATTATTAAGAAAGTTTTATAAAGAGATTTTAATAGCTCGATAGAGATGTGTGTTAATAATTTTTCAAGTTATATAGATTGGAAAGTAAATTTTGCAAATTACACTTCGCTAACTTTATTTTTCATGTGACTACAAGTATGAGTATGACTCGGTCTCACTCTCATCAGTATGAGTACGACTACGAGTGATTAATATCGATAAAGCAAATACTTTAAAAACTAAGTTTATTTTGAAACACGAACTAAAAATGATGTAATATAAAATTATAATGAATTGTTGCATTGCAAGCCATGAAAAATTTATCAACAGTGTAACATCAACACCTTTAAATTATAATCAATTAATTTAATTGTATTAATGCTTTGAAGTATAAATTATAGTTGTTTTCTTCATTTCATAGTATAAATAATGGTAATCAATTATTCGGAATGTGTTCATATAGTAATAAGCAAAATTATTCCCTCGAGTTCGTAATTTTACTTGCCACTAGCCATTACTGTTAATAATTTTTTTCAAGATTAGTATAGTTTTCTTTGACATGCATCATTTATTTTTAGTGTGATTTTATGATAAGCTGTCAGTTACCCAAATTGCATGATGTTATTATAGCTGTACAATTAAGAAGGCAGAAGTCGGGCATTCAATTTTAATGTTTATTAGTTGCTTATATTATGTGATTGCCTTGTTTGTATATTAAATTGAGAAATATTTTTAAGGATTTAAGCAATAGGACTATCACAGTACATATATGTGTGCATATAAACACTATTTTTATTCAGTAAGCTGATTAACTTTAATATGTGTATTAAAGTAGGTTAATTTAACAAACGTATTTGTAAATGAGTTAAAAAAAAATGCAATATTTCTGCATATTTCCTATTAGTTGCAAATAAATTTTGGCTGTTGAAACTGCATATAATTTTGTTACTTTCAAATCTATATTTTTTTGGAATGAAAGAGATGTTAGCAAATTTATTTCAATAAGTAATTAACACACTAGAATTTTGATTTCCTAAGCAGTTGTTATTTAAAGAAAATGATTTTTCCCTTATATTTTTACTAGTTTACTTTCTACTAAAGGCTGATTTACAAAAATTGGCCTCAATAATTTATTTTTAATTTTTCTTCTTGTTGTTCCATCAAATATATATTTTTTACATAAGATATTAAAATATCTTATTCAACTGCATATTATATAAACTAAGCAATTTAAAAGCACTGCAAAAACCAAGATACTACAGTTTCACATCTTTATGATGTAAAGATGCTGTTGATCATGTTATTTTGTTTAGGTGGAATGTTAAGGATGTTTCTAGCCTAAGAGGAAGCATTTGATCCCTGATCTTCCATTTTCTTAGAAACACCAACCTGTAGTTTAAGTTGTTTAACTTTTTTATTTACTTGTATGGATATATGTGATAAATTGTGATGAATCTATTTTATCATTACAAGTTTCAACATTAACATTTGAAAGCACTAGAAAAAGTAGCTGTGAGTTATTATTTTTTTTCACCACTAATTTGGAACTGGTGCTACTAACAACATTATTCCTCTCTAAAAGTAAATTTAACTGTGTTATAATTAATTAATTAATTATTTCATATATTAAATGTTGATAAGTATATATATATATATTATATTTATGTGTAAAAAATCTCTTGTGCCAAGTATTTTTTAAGTACCAAAATTACATGTAACAATTTTTATTTTAGTTTTTTCACAAAAGTTAGAAGATGCTTGATTTGGTTGGAAGCTGCTATGTCTAGACGATGAGTGCCTGGATTGATAAAATCTACATTATTCCACCACAGACAGCCACTCTATATTAAAAAAAAGTAATATTAAAAGTTTTGGTTTAAATTCTGAAAGGTAATGAAGTAGTAGAAGCCAATAGATCTAACATTTGGGTTAATCATGGACAAATTAAGAGGAATATGAAAAAAAACACCACCAGTTTCATTATTTGTATTTTATTGTTACCTGCAATGAGCAACCACTTGGGCACAGTATTTCTAACTACAGTGCTAGCAAAACTGCATTGCAGAGAGTAGATAGTGTGAGTATAGTAGGCTGGTCCATATTATAATTGACTTGGCATCCAATCAAACAAGTTGGAGCTGTAGTTTTGTTATTTACTTGTTGCTTAGCCTGAGTATGCAGTGGTGCTCAAATGGGGATCAAAAACCAGAATACTTGCAATATAAGTTTA